ATTATTTACAGCAATTCCCTGGAGGATAAATTGATGTGTATGTAAATTAATCCAGTCAGATTGGGGCTACTTTGAAGAAATAGTTGCTGAGTCAGTGTTTGATATTTGTTTTGACTTCAGGATCTTCCCATTTGTCTCTCTCCCCTCCCCCAGTTCTCTTCTGCAATTCAAACACCCAGTCTAGCCTGTATCTTCATTAAATCCACAAATCTCCCAATTGCTTTTCACCACAACCTGCACTGTTTTTGAGGGCATCTTTAGGCTTGAAATTCTCCTACCTCTGTTGCAAATGAAATTAGCTTTTTGGGGAAGAGATCAGGAACTATCTGTCTTACCACCTCAGGCAAAATCTCTGAGCCAGGACTCTGGAGCTGGGGGTGGGGGCAATGGTAAGCTTCTCTCTGAGTGACACCACTGCTTTAGAAGCAGAACACTTGGTGGAGGGTGAGGGCAATAGCCTGAGGTTTTCTTAGCTTGCCACTCTTGGCATGGAACCTCTACCTCATGAACCATTACAGGGTGAATCAGGGCCCTGGTATTCTCAGTGTGCTGCACACATGTAGAGCCCCCAACCTACAAGCAGAGCCTGGGCAGAAGAAGGGAGCCCTCACCTCTTGACTGCCCTTGCTCTGGACTTAGTCTCAGCAACAGGTAGCTGGGGCAGGATGAGAACACCAAAGTCCTGTTCCTGCTGGGAAGAAAGCTCTCCAACTGGCACCTGGGGGGAGAAGGAGCCTTGTATTTTGACTATAGAGATATAGAGTGGAGTTTTTGCCTTACTGAGCTGGTGGAGGGGGCAGAGAGAGTAGTCTTGTTTCAAATACAACAGACTCTCACCTTTTTACTGAATTTCTGTAGATTTTCTTAAACAGATGTTTCTTCCTTTGCTATTTGCCATTATGACCGTTTCCAGAGGCTTTAAATGGTGGTTTTTAAAAAATGATTTTTGCCAGTTTCACTGGGGAGTGTGTCAGTGGAGCTCTTCATGCTGTCATGCTGGAAATTAATCTTACATCCTTTAATTTGAAGTCCTTGAGTGGTGCAAATGGTTAATGTACTTGGTTGCTAACGAAAAGGTTGGAGATTCAAGTCCACTCAGAGGTACCTTGGAAGAAAGTTCTGGCGATCTACTTCCAAAAAATCAGTCATTGAAAACCCTATGGAACACAATTTTACTCTGACACACATGGGACTGCCATAAGTCAGAGTGACTCAATGGCAACTGGTTTAATCCTTTAATTTATTTTTAAATAGCACTTTCATTACATTTTTTTTTTATTTATAAAATCACTAATTTTTAAACTTCATCAGTTATAACTGTGAACCAGATTCCTAATGATGGGAGGAGTTACTTTTCATATTTCCCAAAAGATTTAATGAGAATACTTTCATTAAAATAAAAACCATATTAAGCCAATAATAGAAATTGATTGAAGTTTATTTAATATATGATTTGCAGATCAAGGTAACATTTCAACTAGGAAGTCAAAAATGTTCCAAAGATGAGAGATCCCCTAAAGACTCTTATACCCTATCTTATTGGCATTGCCATGGATAAAGGCCAGGGAACAGTTTTTATGTAACAGTTTACCCTAAAACACAGCTTTCAGTATGACCCTGGAGTTCCTGTTTCTCAAAACTGATTGCACATAGATAATTCTTCAAAAGAGCCAAATGCCTAAGGCAAAACAGCCTCCACTAAGCTGCTTACTAGGCTATTGTAGGTGACTTAAAGGTGACTTCAGGAAACTAGCCTCTTCAGGGCTCAAGGTTCAAAGAACACCTAAGGACAAATGGCCTGGGTGGGTCACCCCAACTCAATGGACCCTAAAAATCTGGATTCTGGGAGAATTAAAACAGTTTCTCATTTTTTAATAAGTTGCTGCCAACTATTTTCTTCCTCTAGTGAGTGTAAAATGGTGGCAGTAGCAGTAATGTCAGAACCTGTTTAACTTCATGAGGGTGTAGGATAATGCAAATCCCAAGCTTGATCCTCATTAGGCGAGGTCAGACATACCTATACTCTTGAACCTTGTTATCAATTCTGACACCAGCCATCCTTCCCATGGCACTGTCTGCTTCTCTTCTGGGTTCGATAATCCATTGCAATGGCCACACACAACTCACAGACCATACATACGTTAAGTGGTTTATTAAGGAGCAGGGTACAACTCGTGATTAAGATCATCAAGCTACAAGTCAGGATCAGGAAGCATGTATGCAGTCTCCTTTCTTCAGTGCCTCCTGTCAGCCCCCTGAGGTCAGGCTCCTCTTGACGCCCTGAGGAAAGGATCCCTTTGGCTCTGCCGTCTGTCACCCCTGGCTCTGCCTCTGGGCCCCTTCTGGGCCTCTCGTAGCCTTCAGTGTTACAGCCCTTGTCCGGTGTTATAGCTCTTTTAGGAGGTCCTTGCCTTCTCTCTCTGCTGCAGCTTTTTTCCTGCTGCTTCTCTTCCTGCTTTCTGTCTGACTTAACCTCTGTGAGGCTGGCTGTGTCTATATATACACAACTCCTTGTCAATTTCAAGGCGTGGCCTATCCCAGTGGTAGCCACAAACTGACCAATCCCCTCTCGATAGGCCACAGACACTTCACTTGTATAGTAGGCATGGCTAGGCTATAATTCACCTCATTTGAATAGTCTGTTAACCATTCCCTGTAAGGTGCATACCAATCACAGGGTAGGCTGCAGCCCTGGACCCGACAAAAAGTATCAGAACCAAGTTGTTTACAGTTTACCCAGGAAATGTCAATCAACCTGGACAAAAGTAACAAACCCTCTAGGGTAGAAAACTAGGGCAAAGGTAACTCATTACGGCCTAGGGAAAGAATCTCTCAAGCTGTTTTTCCAAAGAACCAAGGCAAATGGCCACATAAAAGAAGTCATTTCACCACAGTGAGAATAGCATTAACACATCTGTTCACTATCTGTATATCTTAATGACCGTGAGATCATCATTTTGAACATTATTACCATTCTATAATACTGATGATGTGGAACGTGTAGGAAATTTGGGTTCAATATTTATTTATTGTTTTAGTCAGACAAACTTCCTACATACTACGTTTTTTGCCAGGCCCTAGGATTCAAAGATGAGTAAAGCACAGTCACTGCCCACAGACTTGTAAACAAATATAATGTGTAGTAAGAGAAATAGATATAAACAAACATAGTGTGGTAAGTATTATAATCAATGTATGTTTAAGGTAGGTGAACAACACAAAGTAAGGTACATTGCTTAGAATGGTAGCCTGGAAAGATGCCAGGGGAGGAGACATAATAGACATAGGTAACTGAACACTAAAGTATGACCTCTAAAATTATATTATTTCATGGAAAGACAAATTAATGAGAAACTTAAATACCTAAAAACACATGTAATAAGGTTATGCGCAGTGTATGCCAGTTTCCAGGTGACTGATAGAGTAACTAACATTTATTGAAGTACTCTGCTATACAAACTATGTGTCTTATCATATACAATCCTCACAACAACCTTCTTAGGTACTGATATTAAGCCCATTACAGATGAGGACACTGAAACATAGGCAAAATAACCTCTTGAAGACCACATAGCTAATATGTGGCAGAGCCAGAATGCAAACTCAGGCAGACATATTCCAGAATGAACTTTCTTAATCATACACAAATGAACCATAAGTAATATAGTAACCCAGAGAAGAAAGAAAAGCTAGCCTAATGAGAGCATTTGAAGAAGACTTATAAATTAGATAGGTGATGAGTATCATGAAGAATACTCTAGGCATGGGTGTTAGCATAGGTAAATATTCACTGGGTGAAGTTTACTTGAAGAACAAACCAGTATAATTTGAGTAGTCAATTTAAGTAGGAGCATAAAGGAAACTCCGGTTGGAAACTGAGGATAGGATGAGAGCCAGCTGTCTAGGATCTTGAAAACGAGTCTAAGGTAATCATGGCTTGATCTAATAGCCATTGAGGTTATGGGAGCAAAGGGTGATATGGGATTCAGTGTTGCATAATGATTAAGTCTGGATTCCATCATTTACCAGCTTTGTGATGTTGAGCAAATTACTACTCTAAGGCTTTTTTCCCCCTTATCTAAACAATAAGGATACAAATAGTATCTACTTCACAGAAGTATTACATGTAAAGCTTGACATATAATAACTGTTGAGCAAGTGTTATTATTATTGATATGTTTTAGTAAATTTAATCTGGAAACAGTATGTAGTAGCCGAGGCCTAAGACTTAAGCCATTAGTTGAGAGATGTTCGGAACACGATTGTAGCAGATAAATAGAGAGGAAGGGACAGATACTGGAAATATTCATTTAAAATAATACTTTAAATTTATATGGCTTTAAAAAATCTATATTCTTTGAGCTGCTTTCATAGTATTCGTGCATTCACATCAGTAGTTAATAGCTGACAACTGAATGTAACTGTTTAATTTACAAAGCACTTTGACATGTGTTGCCGAATTTGATTGTCAGAACCATCCTATGAGATAATTATTATTGAGGCCCAGAGAGGTTAAGTAATCAAAGATCACGCAACAAGTTAATAAAGGAACCAGTTTAAAACTTGAACTTCATACACCTATTCTAGTGCTTTTCCCATTATATCACATTACATGAGGAGAACTGTTGTAGTATATACCAGGCAACAATATGAAAAATGTCATTAATACCTTTAAAGAGTTAATATTTTTTATTAAGTATCTGCCTTAATACCTTAATACCAAGAAATAACCAAGGTATGGAAAGGGATAGAGTAGTTACCTAATTCATGTATAAATTAGATAGTTAAATAGTAATCTCTGCTCAGAAGATCAAAACATTAAGTGACTATAATTTGCCACATAAAACTCTTTAGCAGAAATGAAAATAAGCTCTGTTTTTCTGTGCCGAACTGTATTAGCCATTTAGTACATTCTGGGTGATTGTAAAATATTTTACAATAGAGCTATTAAGTGTTTTTAAATAGTATTGATCATGAAACTTTTTGAAATTTACCATCAGGCCAATGGTGGCAGACTCTACATAGAACTATGCTTCGTGGTGTTCTGGGAAAAACCTTTCGACTTATTGGCTATACTATTCAGTATGGCTGTATAGTTCATTGTACGTTTGAATACGTTGGTGGTGTTGTCATGGTAAGTTTTACATTCAAGAATAATTATTTACACTATTTTTTAAAACTTTTTTAAATGGAAGGAAAATACATTTTTCTCTTAATTATAGTTGAAGATAAAGTGTGAAAGTTAAAACATAAAATTGTTCCAAATTTTGAGGTGTAAGAGATTTGGTTTGAATTGGCACTGATATAAACTCTAAGACCCATTACTTTAAATATGGTTGTGTATTTTGTTTCTGATAGAGGCATGAAAGGTCCTAGTAATAATCTAATAATAATAATTGCTACCACTTATTGAATGCTACTTACCTGCTGTGTTCTAGGATGTGTTTGGTATTTTACCTTTATTAACTCATTTAATCTTTTACACATGGTGAGATATTAGAAACCCATTTTACATATGAGGAAACTGAGGCTCAGAAAGCATAAGTAACTTGTTTGAGGTCCCACAATTAGTAAGTAGCAGATTTGGAATTTCAACAGAGATTTGTCCAATTTCCAAAACTCCTACTCTTAACCATCGCATTTAACTGTCATTAAAACAAGTTATCATTCTACCGGATGTCAGTATTAAAATGTTAAAGCTGCCTCCCCACCATTATGAATCTATCAACCATGAATTTTCTAACCTTTTATCATATAAATGAAAAAAAAAATTGATCGAATGGCCAGTCATGTTTTTTAATTAATTTTACCCTAATAGATTCACTACAGAATCGTGCAATCTCAAGTTGAATGTAGCTGAAGTAATGCAAATAAATATATCTAACTGAGAGTCCCCTCCTTGATTTTTTAAAAAAATTATTGTAGTAAAATATGTATAACAAAACGTTTGCCATTTTAACTATTCTTAAATGTACCATTCAGTGGCATTAATTACATACACCATGCTGTACAACCATCACCACTGTCCATTTCCAAATGTTTTTCATCACTCTAAATAGAAACTCAGTACCTCTTAAGCAATAACTTCCCATTTCCCCCTTCCTCCAGCCTCTGGTAACCACTAACACACTTTGGTCTTTATGCACTTGCCTATTCTGTATATTTCATATAAGTTGGATCCTACTCCTCCTTGATTTTTTAAAAGTTATATTGGTACTTGCATTGGGCTGCAGAGGTAGCAAACAAAGTTTCATTGTAGGAAGTTTTGAGTAAAAAGTTTTATTACACATAGAGTAAGTGGAGATTCTTATATTTAGATTTGTAAGTGGCAATAATTATTTATTCCAGTTTTGAGGTATATGTGAAGATTGTTGTTTTAAGACATACAAATATGAAAATTTCAAAACTTTCAGTGCATCTCATACCGGCAGTTTTCAGTAGAAAATTTAAGTTGCAGGCCCATGAAATGAGTAAGCTATTCTTTTGAAATGGGAGGAAGGGCATCAACTCATTGAGACTAGTATGATACCATTTAATAAGTTAGTATCATAAGCACTGGATGATATTTGACAGTATCATGAAAATCATTCATTCATTCAATAAATATTTACTGAGTATCAACTCTGTGCTAAGCACTGTTCTTGGCTTTGGCTATACAGCTAGGAACATGAGAGACAAGTTCCCTGCCCTCATGGAGCTTACATTCTACAGGGTGACCAAAATCTGGAAACATTTATAATGTTATTTTAGTCATATATTATAATGTAATATCAATAAACTATTTATAATATATTTGCTTGTGTTTCCAGACTTGGTTGGCCACTGCATAGCTGCCAACTTATTATGAATCATTCCTCAGAGATACTGTCTTACTATATTGTTCTTCAAAGCATAGGGAACATTTGCTTGATTTTCTTTCTTTTAAGTCTTTGCAGATGATTTATGTTGGATTAAAAAAGGTTTTGAACTCAAAGTACAAAATTACCTCTCTTTTTTAGTGTTCTGGACCATCAATGGAGCCTACAATTCAAAATTCAGATATTGTCTTTGCAGAAAATCTTAGTCGACATTTTTATGGTATCCAAAGGTAAATTTCCATCATGGATATTTTAAGTTTATGTGAAAATACACATACATATTATGTCCTTTCTGCAGTTTCTTAACTTTTGTCTTTAAAACTCCTTCATAAAAACCTAATTAACCAGCTAGATAAAACTTTGAGTCAAATATTTTCTCTAAGTTTGAGAAGTGTTAATGGTTTGTCTAAGCATGTGCAGTCTATTGGGTTATTGTTTCCCTTTTGTCATTGTCCAGAATAGTTAACCGTTCCTGTTATGACACAAATTCAAGTCTTCTTTACTGTTTTATTGGATCCTAGAATGTTTTGAAGGAGCCCTGGTGGCTCAGTGATTAAGCACTTCGCTGCTAACCAAAAGGTAGGTGGCTTGAACCCACCAGTGGCTCCGTGGGAGAAAAGACCTGCTGATCTGTTCCTGTAAAGATTACAGCCTAGGAAACCTTGTGGGGCAGTTCTACTCTGTCATATAGGGTCGCTATGAATTGGAATCCACTTGATGGCATACAACAACAATGTTTTGAGTCTGGAATAGGGACTTAAGGACTACATTGTATATACAAATTAATGCTTGACTGTTTCTAATTCTGAAACAGTAAATCTGTGTTAGTTTTTATCTCAGCGAACTGCAAGCTTGGCTTCCTTGAGCTAGTATTTAGCTTATGGCATAAGTAGCTTTAGGCACTCCTCTTTCACTATCAACCTTTGCTATAATCTGCTTCACATTACTAAAAAATAGTCAAGAATAGTGAAGAAACACTTTTAGCATTTTCTGATCTTTCACCAGCCTTAGACTCTGTAGATAGAAACTATCTCTTTGGCGAAATGTATGGTCTAGCAAAGGTCCCTAGGTAATTCTTCTACAGATATTTTACCTATATCAACTTTAAGATACCTAATTGATAGATATAGGGGTTATAAAATAAAACTTAAGTAACAGCGCTGTGTTCTAGCTCCCTTTTCTTTTCAACTCATGTCAAAATAGCATGATACAGCCTTTGGATTAATTGATGACCTACCCTCACCATAGTATTCCATGTTCCACGCTAACGGCGTGATTTTACTCTCATAATCCTGGAACATCCTTAACAAGAAACTGAACTTGTTGGCTAAGTAGTTTTTGAATGAACAGCTTAATATTGTCTTTTTTTGGTAGATACTTTTTTGCATTCAGATGAGTATACAAATAGCTATATTCAGTAAATTAAGATTCCTCGGAAGTTTCATTTTGTACTGTACTCATCTGGGGGGCTCATTCGGTGCAGGACAGCTCAAGATCTGCCATTTATAGGAGATATGCCAAAGCAACTTTTATAACCAAGACAGCCAGTTGATAACTTCTGGCTTAAATATATTACTGTCCTGAGTAGTCTTTGTATCTGATCTGCAGCACAGAATTCTGAGACTTCAAGGGAATCTCTGACCCTTGGCAAGAAGTCTTCTTGTTGGCTGCATGTTTCTAAAGCTATAATAGTCTTTCATTTAAGCAAGAATGAAAGTCTGAATATCTGGTATCTAAAGCCCATGGATTCTTTTCAGTCAACCACCCAGAATACTCATACTTCAGACAGTCATAATCGCTAATTACTACTTATTCTTTCAACACATAGTTGATGAGCACCTAATGTACAAGATGGGGTTCTGATTAAGCATTTGGCTGCTAACCAAACAGCAGTTCGAATCCATCAGCCACTCCTTGGAAACCATGTGGAGCAGTTCTACTCTGTCCTATAGGGTCGCTGTGAGTTGGAATCGACTCGATGGCAACAGGTTACGGATTAATGTATAAAATATGCTGTACATTATAGGGAATGTTGAGGTGAAATCTTTTCAAAAGCTTACAGTCTAATAGAATAATAAGGATGTTTATAAGTGAGAGAAGAAAATTTAAGTCATAGTTTTACTGACTTCCTTTAAAAGCTCTATTTGAAAGAGTTAGGAATCCAAGGAATATGTGTTTTGATATGCTTTATGCATGTATCTGGTTAAAGCAGTTGTCATTGAACCAATTCTACTCTGACACACATGGTGACTCCATATGTGTCAAAGTAGAAGAACTGTGCTCCATAGAGTTTTCATAGCTATGATCTTCTAGAAGCAGATCACCAAACCTTTCTTCCAAGGTGCCTCTAGGTGGGTTCGAACCACTTTCGATTAGTAGCTCAGCGCTTAACCATTTGGACCACCCAGGAACTCCCATATATCTGGTTAGACCACCAGAAAGCTACATCTGTATTAATATTGCTTTCTATAAAACACCTTGACTGAATTATAGTTTCTATGTTATCATTCAAGTACAGAGTTTATGTTTTAATGGTCATACTGATTATTTGATCAAAAAACTTAAGCTGAATAATACACCCATGGAAAGACTTTCTTCCCCTAAAGCTACCTAAAATTAACTTGGATATATCATGCTATAATCTTTATAGACTTGTTCATCTGAAACAATTCTACTGATACGGTTTCAGTTGGTTGGAAAGAATAGTTTATCCCAGTTTCAAAAAAGGGCAGCCTTATATTACCTCCAAATTATAGAATTTCATGATTTAATAGCCTTCAGCTCTTATCAAGAGTAGCCTCAAGAAGTGACCATTGTGAATGTTTCTGTATCTTCTATAAAATTTCTGATGAAGTTGGTGTCTTTTATTCCCCTACTTAGGAATTTTTTTAATAAATTTCTCTTTGACTTAGTTGTTAGGGAAAATTTTGCTTCACCTCCCAAACTGTTACTTTTTTTAGTTAATGTGATTAATCTTAATTTCTTTTTTGACTTAGTTACCAAAAAGTTTAGAACTCATTTTCACACTTGTATATAGCAACAAATAGGTTAAATGATTTAACTATCATTTTCCTTTTATTTTCTTGGCTTTTAACATTATTTTGGCACATGCACCTTTTATTATAAATCCATCAAGTTATTTCTGGAGCTAGGTATGAATAATAAGTAAATATATTAAATGCTTTGAAATATGTGTGTCAGTTAACAACTCAGAATTCACTTATTGCTCATTTTATGCAGAAAGAGCATTTTGTTCCATTTGTTTGGGGCAGCCCTAATTATGCATTCTTTTTCCGTGTCCCCTTCTTCCTTTCCACTTTTTCAGATCTTTCTTAGGTCAGTTACCAATTAGATTGCCACTTCTTCTATGAATCATGCTTTCCATATGTAATCTGGCCCATATTAATTTTTTTTTTATTGTGCTTTAAGTGAAAGTTTACAGTTCAAATTAGTTTCTCATACAAAAATTTATACACAAGTTGTTATGTGACCCTAGTTGCTCTCCTTATAATGTGACAGCACACTTCTTTCTACCTCGGATTTCCTGTGTCCAGTCAACCAGCCACTGTCCCTTTTTGCCTTCTCATCTCGCCTCCAGACAATTGCTGCTCATTTAGTCTCATGTATCAACTTGAGCTAAGAAGCACTCTCTTCACCAGTATCATTTTATATCTTATAGTCCAGTCTAATCTTTGTCTGAAGAGTTGGCTTCGGGAATGGTTTCAGTTCTGGGCTAACAGAGTCGAGGGGCCATGTCCTCTGGGGTCCCTCCAGTCTCAGTCAGACCATTAACTTTTTACTGTAATTTGAGTTCTGCACCCCACTTTTCTCCTGCTCCATCAGGGACTCTCTTTTGTGTTCCCTGTCAGGGCAGTCATTGGTGGTAGACCCATATTAATTTTATAAATTTGATATCAGATTATTTTTAATAATATGTATTTGTGCAGTTTCTTAACATTTTATTTGGTTGTGTCCTCTAAATTTTTCTGACTATGCTATAGTCTTTCTTACTATACTGTAAGTTATCTAGGTTATATAATTCATATACTGTTAATTCCTCAATTATTTGAGCTTTAGGGAAACATAGATGATGTTTCTATCATTCTTATGTGTTGTAGAGTGAGTAAAAAGGCTCACTAGTAAAACTTATTTAGTTAATTTGGGAATATTTATATGGAATTGTTTTTTCATAGTTTGGGTTCTAAAAATTTGGACACAAAAATAACACATAGTGGATATGGTGCAAAATAATTTTTATGGCATTATCAGGAACTTTAGAATCTTCTGATATATTTTCCATCACTCTCATTGTTGGATTCTAACCCATAAAAGTCAGTCACAAATAAAAAAGTCAGTAAAAAATGCTTCTCAAAGCTGGTAAAGGTATGGAAAGGTCAGTATATGAGAGGTTAAAAGATGTGGCTTCAAGTTGCTTTGTGAAAATGTTAAAGCAGTGCCATTTATGTGTTTATGTTTAATAAATAACATTGACGTTTCTTTGGCTTTTCCTCCCTCAGAGGTGACGTTGTGATTGCAAAAAGCCCGAGTGATCCAAAATCAAATATTTGTAAAAGAGTAATTGGTTTGGAAGGAGACAAAATCCTCAGCAGTAGTTCATCAGATTTCTTTAAAAGCCATAGTTATGTAAGTAACATTTCAATTATGTTATGTATTAATATCATAGTTGATTAAAACCAGCTGAACACACTGACAAAAAATTAGCTCTTATTCATATATTGAATGTGGAACATTGCTTCATTCGGTAGAGCTTGTGTATCAAGAACATTTTGGCTATTATATTTCATATATTTTAATTCCTTATAAAACCCTATATAAAATCTAAGTAATATTTGTTGCAGGCCAGATTCACTGATGGATGCTAAAATTATTGGACAAAAGTTTAAGGAAAAATAGTATATTTGCACAGTTTCAAAGTATCTCTCCCAAGATATTTATTAGAAAGGGAAAAACAGTAACTTGGCAGGGGAAAAACCTAGCAGATACCACCTGAACCAAATCATCAAGATTAACTTCACCAATAATAAGACATATCAACATAAGGTAGCCCCTGATATGAAGCACTGAGAAGGGCACATTACTTCTCTTGTATTCTTGAAAAGACAGTATAACCTCAGTCTAATCATGGGAAAACATCAAACAAATTTGAAAGGAGGGACATTCTACAACATAACTGACCAGTACTCTTCAAAAATGTCAAGGTCATGAAAAACTAGAAAAGACTGAGGAACTGTCACAGATTGGAGGATACAGAGGACATATGGCAAATAAATGCAGTCTGGGATCCTGGCTTAGAAAGTCATTCCACTGACCAGTTAGTAGAAACTAATTAGTGGAAAAGCTAGTAAAATCAAATAAAGCCTGTAGTTTAGTTTTTTTAAATCCTATTTAATTTTTTAAAATAGAAATTGTATATACCTTTGGTCTAGTCAACTTGCTGTCCAGTTAGAAGAAAGCAAGGGCAATAAAGTGGAAGAGTGAAGAGCAGATGTAATGTGTTAGCTCTTTCACCAATTACATGGCTGTGATGACAGAGCTTGTGGTGGGAGGCCCTTTTGTTTCCTTAGCAAGTAGTATTCTTGCTTTTATAACTGTAACTTAATTTTCTACTTCACTTTAAATTCTGTCACTATCAAATTATTGATACAGGTGTTTACAACTATTAACTAACTTTACCTCTGTCTTCATCCCCGATGTAAGCAAATAATTGAAGAGTTAAATTGTTTTCATCACTGTAAATTTATTTTGAACTATACTAGCCTCTGATTACCCTATAAGTAAATTTGATAGGTAGACTATTAAATAATCAATACTGCCTATAATAGACTATGGTTCAGCTCTGTAAATGTTTTTGATATTTGCTGCTATAGTTAAGCAAAGAGTAATTGTTAGCTGATGGTGATGATAATGTGGAAGATGATAGAATAGTGTCACTTGACATATTTTTCTTTGGCCATCATAAGCAGCATATTCTTTTATTCTTGAAAAAATGTCAAATTTTGCCATATGGTTTCACCTTCATATGGCTGTTAAACATTTCATGAGGCATTCTAGTCACTTCTAGGTTGCTTTAGCAACAAGTGTATACTTAGACCAGAAATAGTTTTGTCAATAGATAGAACAACAGAACAGATAAATGATACCATTGTTGCAGTTGTTTTGTTATTTTCTTTGTAAGAGTTATTAGAGAAGGAATATCAGGACAGATGGGTTTATAGTCTCTAAGTAATCAGAGAAGACAACCAGAGAACTGTGAGATAAAGAATTTTTTTGAATTAGTGAAAAGGATTGATTTGGCATTGAGACATACTCAATGATGGGCTTATTTTTTAGCGAAAAGCAGTGATTCTATATTAGGTCTGTTTTGTATAGCAGAGTATTTTATGCATATATAAATATGTATTTTATACTTATAATAAATACAGAGTATTTTCATGGAAAGTTATTAAACTACAGCATTTGAGTCAATCAAATAATTCTAAGTTTTCTTTCCTTAAATAGAATGTTCTATTTAAGGAAAATATTCATTGAAGTTTTTATATGTCTGATGAATGGATAAATTACAAGACACTGCCATTTTGTTCCTGGTATATTCCATTCACTTTGGCTTTGACATGTTTATAAATCTTGTCATATATTTATAAATCTTGTCTCATATATATATACACACACACACATGCATAATAATTAATATATGCCAACATTTACTATGTACTTACTTTATACCAGACTCTTTTGAGCTCTTTACAAGGGCTAATTTATATAACTCTCACAACAGCAACCCAACAAGATAGGTAATAGTATTTTACAGATGAGAAACCTGAACAACAGGGAGGTTAAATAAATTGCCCAATTTCAATTAACTACTGAGAGAGTTGGGATTCAAACACAAGTAGAATTTGTAGTCCTCGCCATTCCACTGTTTCCTCTCCTGAAATATCCCCTACCTATCTAATTATTATTTCTAGTCCCGTTTTATCAAATTATATTTCCTGAAAAATATATTTGTCATTATTATATTTTAAAAAGAAAGAGTACTGTTTCTGATCAGGGACAATAATATTTCTGAAAGAGAAACCAGTGATTTGTGAGCACCCTGTGCCATCCCCCCAACCCCCTACTTTTTCTAGTCTGAGTTATTCAAGCCTTAAGAATAGCTATTACAGAACCACTTTAGCATATGTGTTCCATTAATCAAGATGATTTATAACAAAAATTCATCCAAGTTTGGAGCACTCTGAAAAGATATCCAAAATGTTTGCAGTGTCTTTCCCTCTAGAGTGTTCCGCTTTTCAGCTATCTCAGAAGCACACTAGTGGTACTATATTTTATCAAAGGGTTTCTTTCCCTTTCCTATGTGTCCTCTTAGAAAATCGTTGTTTATAAGATGAAGACATTACTATTCAGATCCTGATTGAGCTGCTAAAGATTATCAATATTAAATGTGTTTTGAATTCCAGGCAAAAAACATTTATTCTTCTATATAGGTGCTTCAGCAAGCAAAACACCAAAAAGTTGAAGTCATTTGGAACCTACAATAGAGAGTTTAGCATATGAAAGAAATAGCATTGTTCATAAGTTGGAAAAAAGAATATAAGCAGATCATTGGTTAAGTGATGTGGAACCATTTTATTCATTCCAGAGTTCTGAAAGTTTTTGTGGCAAGCCATGTTTACGAACCATGATTTATTTTTTACATTAAGCATTTGGAAACTAAGCAGTCCCTAGCAAAGTGCTATTGCAGTGGGTTTTGCTCATTTTGATGGTACTGAGGCCAATAATTCTTTCCTTGGGTTATGGGGTGAGCACTGGCTACGAGGATATGAGCTTAATTTGTGACTCTTAAAAGAAACAAATTATATTTACCTGAAACATTTTGAGTAACTTAACTTTCTGTACTATGGGAATTCCTTAGTTTGCTGCTGGAAGTGCTAATTTGCAAAAACAAAAAAATTTATGTGGAAGTAGGAGCATTGAACAAATGTTATTGTTAGTTGCCATTGAGTCAGCTCCAACTCATGGCAACCTTATGTATAACAGTGAAATGTTGCCCAGTTCTATGCTATCTTCATGTTTGTTGGTATACTGAAGTCCATTGTTGTGGCTGTCGTGTCAGTCCGTCTGTATTAGGGTTTCCCTCACTTTCGCTGACCCTCCACTTTACCAAACATGATGTCCTTCTCTATTGATTGGTCTTTGCTGATGACATGTCCAGAGTAAGTGAGTTGAAGGCTTGCCATCCTCACTTCTAAGGAACATTCTGGTTATATTTCTTCACAAAGACTGATTTGTTCTTTCTTTTGCCAGTCCGTGGTATATTCAGTATTTTTTGCCAACACCACAATTCAAATGCATCTATTATTATTCTGTCTTTCTTTTTCATTGTTCAGCTTTTGCATGCATATGAGATGATTGAAAAGACCATGGTTTGGGTCAGGTGCACCTTAGTCAATGTGACATCTTTGCTTTTTTAAAATTTTAAAGAGATCTTTTGCAGCAGATTTGCCCAGTAAAATACATTATTTGATTTCTTGACTGCTGCTTCCATGGACATTGATTGTTGATCCAAGTAGAAATGACATCGTTGACAACTTCAGTTTTTTCTCCATTTACTATCATGTTGTGTATCAGTCCAGTTGTGAGAATTTCATTTTATGTTCAGATATACTCTATACTGAAGGCTTTAGTCTTTGACCTTCATCAGTAAGTGCTTCAAGCCGTCTTCGTTTTCAACAAGCAGGATTGTGTCATCTGCATATTGCAGGTTGTTAATGAGTCTGCCTCCAATCCTGACTCCACATTCTTCTTCATATAGTCAAGCTTTATGGATTATTTGTTAAACATGCAGAATGAATAAATAGAGTGAAAGGATACAACTTTGCCACACACCTTTTCCAGTTTTAAACTGCACAGTATCCCCTTGTTCTGTTTGAATACTGCATCTTGATCCATTTACAGGTTCCACGTGAGCACAATTAAGTGTTCTGGAATTCCCATTCTTGTAAACAGGAAATGCATAAAATGCATTGGCATTCTCTTATTGGTTTCTTCAGTAGGCCAAATGCAAAGTAAGTGCCTGTTTAATTTAGTATCCATTTCCCTAGGAAACACAGTGCCAGGGCTCAGGAAGTACAGTAAACTTTGTTATAAGACATAGTGAAGAAAAGAAAAAAAATCTTTATGATCTAATGAAGATAACATTGTGCAGTAGTTCAGGGCTGTGATTTTAACCTATAGTGAAACTGTGGTACAGTTAGGAATTTTGAAATATAGTGAATTCCTATTAGCAAACAAACATGCTATAAAATTTCCTATCTAAGTAAAAAACTGATAAACTTCCTTGACATCACATCCTCCTATAAGAAAGAGTTATGTATACTTACTCCGTTTATGATCCTCATATTCTCTCTTGAATGCATTCCAGTTAGACTTTGGTCCTCACCAGTTTATTGAAACAATTTTTGTCAAGGTCTCCATTGATTTCTCTGTTGTCAGTCCAGGGGTCAACTCTCGGTCCTCATCTTACTTGACCTATTGTTAGTATTTGAAATAGTTGTTCTCAATAAGTAGCTTCATTTGGGGGTGGGGGGAGGTACATCACTGTCTCTAGGTTTTCTTCCTGTCTT